ACTCAGCGCTACCTGGCCCGCGGTGGCGCGCCGGAAGGCGAGGAGACCCATGCGCGGCGAGATCAAGTGTAAAAGGCAAGCCGCAGCCACTTGGCCCCAATTAGAGGCCAAACCTTTTATGTAAACAGGGAATAATTAGCTTTGGTAATAGAAGCGTAAACAGAATCATCGTCCATTGATTTGCTAATTGCCCTCCTGTCCCATGACAATAGCCCGCGTTTCTCTGGAGGTCGGACTGCCCAGTGCAACAGGGCAGGTAAAGGGGTGTTACACTCTGAAATGGGGGAGTCGGCTCTTGCCCACCTCCAACTGGGGCGGGGGAGAGATCTCAGCCCGCCCCCCTTTCTGGCTGTAAGTGCAGCTCGATTAATTCTCTTTTCTAAAAGGAGGGAATACCAGGTGGGTGGTTTAGTCGGCAGCATCCCAGGGGAGGCCAGCCTGGCTAGGGCCATGAAGCCCCCGGACATTGCAATTCCCCGAACAGGTGCTCATCTCCAGCGCACAACCCGGGAGCCCCAAAGTCCCTTTCTTGGGAGCAGTTGCCGATCTCAACTCGCCCCCAGGGCCCCTGAATTCAAAGTCAAATCGTGTTACTTGCACCCACTTGAGGCAGGGCCAGTTCAACCGCCAGACTGCGGGACACCTGGGAAATTACCCCCCGAGGCCGGGGTGGACGTACGGAGTTTATGGATGAATCCGGTTTGCAGGGCGTGGAGGCCAGCAAAAACTCTCAGCAGGGGACTTGGGGGCAATACAATGCTACTGGCACCAGGCACCTTCCTCAGCTCCTGAGGACTTTCCAGACAGAAAGGACCTGGGGGGCAGTGCCCCAACCCCGCCCCCAGTGTGGCATTTGCATAGCAGTTAGCACAGATTTGGGAAATGTGGCAAGTGTCCGCATCAAAGCCCGGGTCCCGCTGTGTGAGCCAGGAAGGAAGACTGCTGCTAGCTCCCTGGGGCCCAACCTCAAATCTTTCGAGCCTGCATCCTCGCAGGGCTGACTGGCCCCCAGCCTGGTTTGTCAGACTAGAGACGGACACACTTTCCGTGGAGGCCGCTGATGACCAGCGTCACCGCTTTCACTGTCCTCCCCTGCAGGGCAAAGGCAGAGACCCTGACGCTGTTGCCCCATCTCCTCCCCACCTCCCACCTTACCAGAAGCATACCTTTGTCTAGGACCGGCCCAAAGATGGCCAGGCTGTCGTCTATGGTGGTGCAGTTCCAGCGGCGGCCCCGGAACTGGTGCTGGCACTCCTGGATGCCCAGCTTCACGCCCTCGGCTACACTGGGCATGATCTCGATGTAATTGCGGCAGAAGCGCAGCTGCTTGGGGACCAGGCCCGGGATGGAGCCACAGAGCAGGGGCTGGGAGCCCAGGGATGTGTACTGCTGGCCCAGGGCCAGGGACCTGCGGACAGACAGAGGAAGACGGCTTTGTGGACATAAAGCACACACCCCAGCACGGCATCACTTCTTAACGCACCCTCCAGGGTGGGCGGCGGAAGGGAGAGCTTATCAGACTGACCCCAACGCCTGGAAAAGCCTGGTGCCTGCACATGCATTGCCTTCGCCGGGCAGGAGCATGAGCACGCCCAACTTGCATGGGGACCTCTCATGGGAGCCTTTGGGGCAATGCAATTGAACCCTGGACTGGAAAGACAATATTTGAGCAGATCAACGCTTTTCACTGCCCTTCAAGTCCCTGATGGCACTGAAGGGATGGAGGTGGGAGATCTAGGGAGTCCAGGATTCCAGGGGCATCGTGTGGACTGCAGTGATTTATAGGAACCAAACCTAAAGCAGGAAGGCAGCAGAGGCAGGTTTTTGTTTTGTTAATGTGGTGCTGGGGACTGAACCCAGGGCCTTGTGCATGCTAGGCAAGAGCTCTACCACGGAGCCGCACCCCGACCCTGCAGAGGTTGGTTTGACCTCCGCCCCATCTCGGAAAAAAAAACAATCTTCAGTCCCAGCAGAGAGCTTACATGTATGTGTGTGCACTTCAAACACACACACACGCACGCACATGCATGTGAACACATGCACGCCACTGTGGAAAGGCCCCTCAGCATCCTTGCCGGTGTGCTGCCTGCTCAACCCCCAACTTCCTAGCATCTTCCCCGGAAATCAGCAGCACCGAGACCCCGGCACACCAGGGCCTCTGTGGACAGCCTTACAATTAACAGTTTCTATTTTATGTATTTATTTTTGCGGTGCTGGAGGTTAAACCCATGACCCTGATCATGCCAGGCAAGCACTCTAGAAGTTTCTAGAGTGCCACCTTTCTTCTTGCTGAGATTAGAGCTCAGCTATGTTTCAAGACAAGTTTAAATCAAGGTCAGGAGAAAGACCCCAGCTCCCGCTCTCCCACCCAAAACAATGCGACTTTGGTCAAGACATCCCTTTCTTCTGCCCATTTTTGTTTTGTTTTGTTTTGTTTTGTTTTTTGTTTTCTGTTTTTTTGGTACCAGGAATCAAACACAGGACCTTACGCTTACCAGGCAGGCGCTGTGCCGCTGAGCTACATCCCCAGCCCCCTTCGGCCCATTTTTCAATGAATAGAGTCCGCAGAAGGAAAGGTCTTGTGGAGGGATGGGGGAGTTGAATATGTTAGAAAACCAAAGAAGTGTGGGAATCTCTGGCTTTCCATTCCTTCCCCAGCACAGGGAGATCAGAAGGGTGTTTTGTGGGCGAAGCCAAGAAAATGACGTGTGGGTCTCAGTGAGCCTCAAAGCCAGTTGTGACCAGCCCTATGGCGGGGGCAGAGTGAGCTGGAGTTCAGGGGACCATCTCTTCTCCTGTGTCCAGCACTGACCAAGACTTCAGTCTAGTCCTGGCCTTAGTCAAGTTCCTCACGCGAAGTAACAAGGAGAGGTGGAAAGACCCCAGGAGAAGACCCCAGGGCTGGGTCGGAAAAAAGCCACACACACTTTCCGGGCTGGGAACAGGGATGAACAGAACATCTGCCGTGTGTCCGCTCTTCCCGTGCCACAATCTTTGAACGCAGCAGACTTGACTGACTTGAATGTGGAGAACGTTCCTCATCCTCTGGATGAGGAACCCGGGGCTGACAAAGTCAACAGCCTGCCCAAGGCTTCTGACACCAGGCTGTGGCAGATCAGAGCGCGCTATATGCTGCTTCCCCTCGGCCCTTCCCCCGTACCCTGGCTTGCGCCTGAGCAACTCATGGAGGCTCCGGGATGGAGCTTTCTAGGTAGTGCCCAACTGCCTGGGCTGCCTCTGCGCTCAGTTGCCAGGGGAGAAGCAGACCCTGGTTCTTCTGCATGTTTATTTATTTTGGGTGGAGAGACCGGGGCACCAGACCTGGGAGTGTGGATGATGACATTTATGAAACATTTCCAGATCTCAAACACTGAGCCCCTTTTTTAAATGAACTGAATGATTGATTGACTGATTGATTGGAGACAGGGTCTGGCTGGCCTCAAACTCATGGTGATCCTCCTGCCCCAGCCTCTCAAGTGCTGGGATCACAGCAGTGCGCCACCACGCCTGAGCACTGGGCCCATTTAAAAAGCAGGAAGAGCAGCCCCAGTTCTGACTGAGCAGTTATCACGGGCAGTGGTAACTGCTGGCTTCCTCTGTGCTCAGCTGAGCCCTTTCTTTGACTCGGCCTCCATTTGAGCCTCATTAACAACCTAGCACATAGTGGGGTCTTTAATAGAAGCCTTGTTTTTACAGATCGTTTAGCAGGTGCAGATCACAGAGCTGTCATGGGAACCTCAGCTTCCTGACTTCCTCCCTGCCTTGTTGGTAAACCCCACCGGGGTCCCCAGAGGGTGGATATGGCTTCAGGCTTGCGTGGGAGAGACCCAGTGAGTCCAGAGGACAAGCGCTGCTTGCCGGGCCCGGCAGTACAGAACAGGTTAATGTGAGAATAAAATACTTATCATTTCCTGGCGCAGGTCTGGCTGCTGTCACCTTGTTTAATCCTCACAGCAGGTCTGTGAGGCTGAACTTCAGCGTCATCGTCACTGTCTCATTTCCCAGACAAGGACGCTGAGCAGGGAGCAAAGTAACCTGCCTGGGTCTGCGGGGCTGTGAAGTGCCAGCGTGTGAGCGGGATGTCCAAGCCCGTCCTGCCAACTGTACACCCCCACACTCACTAGACGGGGCAACAGGGCAACCACTGAGCGTGGACAGCTCTGCGTAGCACCATCCAGTAACTCACCATTCTGACTCGGTTTCCCTCTTTACATCAAACCCTGACTCACGCCCCCTGCCCAGGTCCAACCCGTTGTGCACCCAGGAGACCCAAGGAGCCGGGAGGCGCGGCTCACATCCAGGTCACTGATCTAAACAATTTTTGTAACCTCTTCATCCTCAGTTTCTTCATCTGTAAAACAGACACAATGGGAACAGGAAATGGAATAACCCCTGGTGCCTGGCACACGGGAAGCCCTCAAGAAATGGTGGTCAACCGCAGTTGCCGTGTGGTTAGGGGCTATGCCCAGCTCCGTGTCGTCAGCTTTTGTTGCCAGCCTCCCTCTTCCCATCCTTGCGTCGCTGATAGAGCACATCAGGACGTTCCCAGTCCCTTCCTGCCCCACACTGGGAAGATGCCTTGGCTCAGAGCAAAGACCTCTGCCCGGCAGCTCAGTCCTAACAGGGCTGGCGAACAAAGACATGTGTGATCCGGCAGCATGTAACCCAAAGGGGAAGGGCAGAGGGACATTTCCAGTGTGCTCCATTCAAAGGTTTCGGCTTAGATCTGGACATCCTGCTGGTAATTAGCAAGGGTCTCTGGGGTGCAGGTTTCGCTCCAAGAGCTGGTGTTGGTGCTAATGAGGCTGTGGCCGAGAGATTGATTTCTGCAGGATAGCTGCTTCCCCCAACGCGCCTTGCCACCCTTGACCTGAGCTCCTGCTCACACACCACCACGTCGGACAGGCCTCCCTCACAGACACAAAAATTTCCCTTTCCACTTCTTGTCCCATTGTTAAAGCACGGGTTCTCTTGGGGGAGACAACATAGGGAGCCTCATTCTCCTCGTTTCTTTCTACCGAAGTGTGAGTGGCTTTTGATTACATTTGCCTCAGAATCCATCTGCTTTACAACTCCGTGCCTTTGCGCAAGGTGAGCCCTCCGCCAGGAGTGGCTTTCCAGCCCCAGCAAACATCTTACCACCCTTCACACCTGGGTGGGCACCAGCCGGAAGTAACCTCTCCCCCGTTTGGATGTGTCCTGTGCCTTGTTCAGGACTTCTCACCACAAAGCGCTCAAGTGACGTGTTTCCACCACCATCTGGCTGGGGGAGTGCAGGGACCCAAGGGTGAGGGTGCGTCTCCTCCTCCTTTCCCAATCCTCCCCCAGCGACACACGCACACACACACATGCACGCACACACACACATGCACCCACACGCATGCACATGCCAGCCTACTTGGCCTTCCACAGAGCCAGGAGCATGATAGGTACATGCTGATGCTCAAGGCAAGGAATAACGGAACGCCCCCTGTGAAGAGCCGGGCTGATGTCCTCTCTCCCCAGCTCCAGGCATCCGGAGGTTCCACCTACACACAGGACAAGACTTCTTGGTTCCGCTGAGGAAGTTCCTGATTTAAGATCTCAGATGATAGCCAGGCTCCCAAAGGAGCTACAGACCTGCCCGGCACTGGCAGCTGGTGAGGGGGAGGGCAGACTCCTGCCTGGCCTTCCCAGTTGGGCCAGGGGCTATTTATACTCAGTCCCTGCCCCTGCCCTTGCCAAAGGGCCCTGCCACCCTCCCGTGGGCACAGCTCATCTTCCACTCTAGCCACCCACTGCCCAGCTGGGCTCAGAACAGACACGATGGCAGCAGGTGCCAGCAAGCCATGGCTGCGGGTGGAGACCTCAATGCTGATCTATCATCTATCATCTATCATCTATCTATCTATCTATCTATCTGGGTCTCACTAGGTAGCTAGGCTGAAACTCAAACTGATCCTCCTGCCTCAGCCTCTCAAGTGCTGGGATTACAGGTGTGTGCCACCACGCCTGCCCAGATGAAAATTTTACACAACCAGTTTAAATCAGCCCCAGTGCTGAATCAGCGCTCCACGGTCACTGCAGTTCCTATCATGACCAGTCAGATTTGAAGCCCTGTACCGGGTAAGGAGCCATCTTGGCACCCAAACCTGGGTTTTGTTTCATTTTGTGTTGTTTTACCTTAGAACCTCCCAACATAGGAACTTAGAGAGTGGAGGGACCTCAGGGATCACCTAGTTCAAGGTGTTTCTTATGGGGCTGGGGATTTAGCTCAGTGGCAAAGTGCCTGCCTGGCAAGCGCAAGTTCGTGAGTTCAATTCCTGGTACCGGGAGAAAAACAAAAACAAACAAAAGAAAAACAACAAAAGATGTTTCTTATTTGTTACCCACTTTTTTTCTGCAAATGCACTCTCACACAACCTGTCT